CGGGAAACGCTAATCCAGCTCGGCACAGAAATCATCATCAGTTGGTCCACTGGACTCCCCTCGGGCGACTTTCAGAAGGCTACTGGATCCTAAGAGGACCCCTCCAGTGGACAGCCAATGGGAATAGTCTGTCACCCAGGCAGTGACATGGACACCCAAAAGAAGGACCCCAGGAGGTAGAAGGACCTGGATGATCATGTGACTTGTAAATTGTCTAGGGCTCACGGGCAGTGACTGGACACCCAGAAGAAGGACCCCGGGAGGAGGTACTTGGATGATAGAAGGCCTTGGATGATCATGTGACTTGTAAATTGTCTAGGGCTCACAGGCAGTGACATGGACACCCAAAAGAAGGACCCCAGGAGGAAGTAAACAGAGGGTAGAAGGCCCTGGATGATCATGTGACTTGTACATTGTCTAGGGCTCACAGGCAGTGGACACCCGGAAGAAGGACCCCAGGAGGAAGTATACAGAGAGAAGGACCTGGATGATCATGTGACTTGTAAATCGTCTATGGTACAGAGCCCTGTACTCCTCATACCATTTTCTAGCCTGCATTGGCTCCGTGCATAATACTGAAGATGTACAATACAGGAGAATGGTGTATTGAGTCTTAAAGTGCATGTCAGCCCCAATATTGAACTTCTCTTATTTACTCCCTTTTGGTCTGGTAACCACACCACTGAACAGGTTTTGTTACATCTGTTCAATAAATGCCGGAAATCACTTCCTGTGCAGGATTCTTATCAGTAACATTGTTTCCAGTTCTCTAAAACAATCATCTCTGATTGGTCACACACCTGCTCCAGAAGCTCCGCTCCTCTCCCGCTCCACCAGGCGGCTCAGCTCCGCGGTCACCTCTCCCTGTAGCCGCTCCAGCCCGCCCAGCAGCCCCCGCAGAGTCCGCTCACAGCCCACCCGGAACGGACGCCGGCTGCCGTCCCTGCCTGTCAGCTCCGCGCTCAGCTCCATGCTTCGCTCCGTGACGTCACTGACAGGCGACATGTTTGAGCCTGGCGGAAGCGCTCTCCGGTTGCCGTGGCAACAGCGGCGGTTTCTCGACGGCGGCAACGGAAGCGAGCCTGCAGCCAACCAACTTCAACGACTACCGCCCGCCAACCCCGGAAGAGGTTTCTCTTCTCTTTCTATTCTCTGGGATGGCGGCAAGCGGGCAAGAGAGACCAGGGGAGAAGAGAAGCGCCGAGGAGGAGCCGGTTCTGTCCCTGCAGGATGTGCTGGAGGAGGACGATGCCCTGCAGGACGAGGCGTGTGCAGTGCTGGGAGGGAGCGACGCCGAGAAGTGCTCCTACCCCGAGGTACCTACCTAGTCATATATACCTATATGCACACCCCCCATATATGAGAAGTGCTCCTACCCCGAGGTACCTACCTAGTCATATATACCTATATGTACACCCCCCATATATGACAGGTGCTCCTACCCCGAGGTACCTACCTAGTCATATATACCTATATGTACACCCCCATATAGGAGAGGTGCTCCTACCCCGAGGTACCTACCTAGTCATATATGCCTAATATGTACACCCCCATATATGAGAGGTGCTCCTACCCCGAGGTACCTACCTAGTCATATATGCCTAATATGTACACCCCCCATATATGAGAGCCTAGTCATATATGCCTAATATGTACACCCCCCATATATGAGAGGTGCTCCTACCCCGAGGTACCTACCTAGTCATATATACCTATATGTACACCCCCATATATGAGAGGTGCTCCTACCCCGAGGTACCTACCTAGTCATATATACCTATATGTACACCCCCCCATATATGACAGGTGCTCCTTACCCAAGGTACATATCTACCTGTGTATATACCACCATATTAGAGGTGACCTACCTACAATATATAGACCCCCATATGAGATGTATATCACTGCTCTAATATATACCTACCCCTCCTTTATGCCTTCATTATCCTATATTCCCCCTCCTATGTACCCAATATATACCCCTCACCCTCCTATCAGAGTGGCTTCTACCCCCCC